TGGTCAGTGTATGCCCTCTGATGTGAGAGTGCTCCATGGAGTTTTCTACCTTGGGATAGTATTCAAGACTGATTCCTGAGACTGCCAGCAAATATGCTTGCCTTTGGGCTTACAGGGTGCTTCCATCTCGGAAGTCAGCCAGAGTATTTTCAGGTGAGAAAACTACTAGCAGGCTTGCAGTGTTTCTTAAGGCCATAAGCAAGTCTCTTGTTACGAAAATTACAAAGGTCAGGTTGTAGACTTGGCATCAGCTGTTGTCCAAGCCCTGCCCCTGTGGAGCAAACAGCCACAAGCCTCAGTGACAAGCCCGAGCAGCACCAGGGGACCAACGGAACTTGGTGTAGCCTGATGGCTCTTTGCTGATGCACCTTAAAATTGCAGTTTTGGGGGAGAGGGTGCATTTCTCCCTTGTACATTGCAGGAGAAGCTCCAGTCTCGGGCAGTATCAACAGAAGGCAGTGAAAAACCTGTGATAGATGTGCATGTGGACACCCACTGTGCTGTGAGCCATTGTCAGCTCCTAGAAGCTTTGTCAGCTATTTAAAAAAGAAAAAAGAGAAAAGAAGAAAGCCTTACCCTGTGTGCAGGGCATTCAAGCAGCTTAGAGTGGCCTCTCCATCTGGCTTTTCTTTCTTAACCTTGCAGGCAGCTTGCATTATTTCTGGATGCAGCCAGCCTACTCTGCATTTATTTAATTTCCCTTCTCTAAACAGACAGAAGTAATCCAGGAAAATAGCCATCACAAAGCCAAACATCCGGTTCCACATCTCCACATTAGAAACACTTGCAGCACAACTGGTCCAGGGGAAGGGATGTTCAGGGCTGAGAGTGCATTTCCTGAATGTGTTTAACATCCATAACGGATGTGCTATAAAAAGCTAGATTTGTGCTTGTGAGGGACATGGGGGTGGTTGGAGGAGAATAACTTAAACACTTGGCTGTAATTAAAGCCAGGAGCACAAAACAGCCCACCCAGTTCTCTCAGCAGGCTTTGCTAGGAAGGTCAGAAGCCGTTGGTTCCCAGGGATGCAATAGCCTTCCCATTATTCCTGTCGTGTCCCCTCATGATACCCAGCTAGGCAGCGGTTTGTCAGCAATGAGTGTCAAGTTTGTTGGAGGGGCTGATGCTGTGTTGCATTTGTGTTTCTGTCATGCTTTTGGGTTGTGTTGGGTTGTTGCTGATGCTGTCAAGGGTATTGGGTGTGATGAGGGGATCCACTGACCCTTCTAATTTGCTGTCACAAATAAATAGGTGGAAGGCTCCTGGCATTCAAAAGAAGCCCTCCACTCATCCCACTAAGCCTTCTTGCCTGTCTGTTTTAGGGCTTGTTTCCTGTTCTTAAGTTGCTCCAGGGCCTTTTGGGGGCAGCAAGAGTAGCTCCTGGCTATAAGTGCATGACCTGATGGAGGGGTTAGTCAGCTCTGTGGGCAATCCTGGAATTCTAAGAGTTGCTTTATGCCCCCTCCCTGGGCCAGGCAGGACCTGCAAGCTGGATCCATCATCCTCTGTGCTAGTAATCCTATTTTGCAACCACCATTTCATATTCAGAGGATGTTAAAGCAAATGGAATCCTCCACACAGCTTAGAGCAAAGTGACTCTGTGCATGTACTTGTGCATGTGTGACTTGAGACACAACGCGGGGGTTGAGCTCTAGCCTGAGAAATAGTTGCAAAGACCTAAGCCCTGCATTGTGAGCAGCAGCTGGTTGCCCATTGGTCCCTGATGTGTGTCAAAGCACAGCATAGGAAACAGTGCTGCTGTAGCAGTTCTGAAAATGAAATAAGAATGTAGTTGGTGGACCTTATGTGAGATTCTTCTCTAGGGAGCTGTTTCTACATGGCCTGAACAGGAGCCTCAACAGGAAGAAAACAGGAAAAAAACAGGAAGAAAAAGGGAGGTTTTTCACTTGCTTTGTTCTTGCTTCTGCTTATTATCAAACACATTTGTAATTAAATGTGGACTTGCTCACTCAGCCCCGCTTTTGCTTTTCTGTTTGATCCTGCCTGAAATTACAGTGGTGTATATGTGATCTCCTAGGACTTCTCATGCCTTGTAGGCTGGTATAAACACAGGGTAAAATTTGCCTTTGAAGCAAGCAGGCACCATTCCCACAGAGTTCAGGAGGTGCAGTGCTCACCAACCCCCGGACTGAGTTTGGCCTGCAAGGGTTTGGAACTGGGTGCAAGACCCAGCAGGAAGAGGCACTGCAAGAAAGCTCTGAGCCAGAGACACATACTGGCCATGAGCAAAGCAAGCAAGATAAACTCTGGCCTGTCCATCATGGATGCTTTCCTCCCCTAGTGTGCTATGGACCAGTTCATATGGACTGACCATTAAATGGTATGAAAAGCTTCAGGCCTTTGCTTTGAGAAGTCATTTACTCTGCTGCATGCTAATGTTGGAGTAGAGCATTAGGAAGATGTCTGTTCATGGCTCCTCTCCCACCTTCAACGTGCAAGAGAAGGAAACGTGGCAGTCGTTGCAGGAGGATATGGATGGTGGGAGAACCTGGAGCCTGTTTGCAGCATCCCAACCCATGACTGTAATTTCTAAGCTAACCTTCCCCTCCAGCCTGGCTACTCCTAGGAGCTGCTTTGCATCCAAAGCTTTCTTTTGCTAAAGAGGCTCTTTCTGCATGAGCTGTCTCAAGCTAATTGAATCCTTTTGCTACCATGATGAAAACTGATTACTGCTGAAGTGAACACTGGTGAGACAGGCACAGGGCGCTCAGCTTCTGTAAACCTCAGATCTAGAGCAAGTGCTGCAGCATTCACATGCCTCCAGGGAGCAATTTCATTTCACAGCAGTCCCATGGGATTTTTTTCTTCAGAAAGCAGGAATTTACAGTCCAATTCCAGCTCAGCATCAACTGTAAACAGTTATTTAGCTAAAATTCTTGCACATTTTGCTTGCATGGGCTGAATAAGGGTGCAGATAAAGCAAGTAATCAAGACCTTGGGGGGGAGCTGGAGGCAGGCTTTTTCAATAGTCACTTCAGCAGTTGAATAGCTCTATTAGTGATTTTAAGGCTTCTCAGCTTTTTCCTGCGCTTCCCATACTGTGCTCCAGAGAGTGCTGTTCTCCCAGACGGAGACATCCAGCCCCCTTGCACCATAGCCAAATGTCT